TTTCGTGAGTAATTAGGAATACATATAATGTGCAGAAAGGTTGAATAAGTACTTTCTTTAAGCACGTGATTACATGAGGATTTTCTCTAGCTCAAGATAAAGAAGGTTAATCTGTACTTCCTTAAAATCTTATAATATTCTTATCATTAATAATCGGCTAAAATGCATATCTAACAATGAAAGCATTGTTGAACAATAAATATTTTAGAACTACAAATCCCTTGTGAATTAAACCGCAAGTTTATAAAAATAAATCTTGTCTTGGATTGTTAAACCAGAGAGACTAATTTATCAAAGGCTTGTAATGATCGTTTAAAAGTATCGAGGTTTTTGAAGGTTTTTGCTTTTATGTCTGCTTTACTGCATTCCAAAAGATTTCAGGTTTTTATTACATCTGAATTAAACACGAAAGGGAGATAAATCATCGTCTTTCAATGACAGGAATTTATGGCGTAACCTTTCACTAATATGGGCTGATGTAATGTTTTATTGTATCCTTTTAAGGATTACCAATTTTTTTCTCAATATTATATACTTTACATACCGAACCGTATGGCCTTTTCCTCTGTACTTATTTCACTCAAAAAGTTGAAGAAACATTTAATTTCTTCTTACATTGGGTATAGTTATCATTCGCTATTGTAAAATGTATAACTTTCCAGATTTAATATCTTTTATCTTGTACATTGGGTAGTTTTCATTCGCTATTGTAAAATGTATATCTTTCCAGAATTCTTATCTTTTATCTTGTACCTTACATTAGAAATGACGATTAGAATATTTATTAGGGGGGGGGGGGTGCAAATTAACTTTGGTCACCTGTATTTTGCATTTGTTGTTAACAAAATGGTGTTATTTTGTTTGAAAATATTGAACACAAACTGCTCCCCTCGCCATGGGAAGAATATTTCATTAATGGAAAGTTACATCGTTCTAATTGCGGACCTTAAATACAATATATATGTCGAAGTACACCATACTCTCTGCAAGTACAATAAGAGCCTATCACAACAAATCTTACTTAATCGGCGGTGCGTTCGAGTTTCTCTGCAGGGTGTTTAAATCTATACAGTCGCGTTCGATCAAAAAATCAAAATATAATCACAGGACTCGTTCGTAATGACTTTTAGAACGCAATGGCAAAAAGGAAAGACGATTTCGTGCATTTATCACGTAGTATGTCGACAAAGTTATACACGTAATATTGAAATAGATCATCAATTGACACAACAAGAAAACATATGACAACAGAAGACATCTATTTTTCATATTGTCATCGTTACCTAGATCGTATTGATACTTCATTGCTTGGGGCTGTGTGAATGTTTAAATCATTAATTCCGTCTGAAGCGTGAAAACCTATTACAAATGCAGAAAAATATACAAATTCATCAAATGTTTATATTTTTGACGCCTATTTGTAGTTAAAACATTGGGATTATTCAAATAGAAGTTATTCCTGAATCAATTATCGTCTATAAACCTACATAATATTAAGATACACATCATGTATGCATAATTTATTTCCTAGAGTAAAAGTGATACACTAAATTACTACTTTATGGATTAATATGTTTGGTATTTAACATTCCAAAAAAAATCAGGTTTCTTGTATAAGAAATTATTTGGTAGACATTTCCCGAGACGTTATGTGTATTTGTATATGCGTGTTTTGTACATTTTATATGCGTTGAACTTTCGCTCTTACAGTGAAATTTTGCATGTAATTCATATATCCATTCATTGTATCATCACTGCATTCATAAGAAACATGTTTTAAATTTCGTTCAATATAAATAAACAAGATTATACTAAATTTAAAAACACAGATATACGTTTTTAACCATCTCACGGTTTCTTGGCGATTAACATGAATGAAATATTAGCCACTGAACAACAGGTAAATGATGAATGAAGTATATCTCCTATTTTTAATTGCCGTTCTGACAAGTACAGTTTAAATTATTTGAGAAAGTTTTCATTCACATGAGCGGTACTGTAAGCAGAGCATATAAGGTCATAGTTCAATGTTCAAACAAAAGGGAGATGCAAGTCATGTAATTCGTTAATGATACGTTTAACAGTTTTCTTGTCCTCGTATTGCGTAACAATAGTCTGTGCGATATAATTTATGACCACATGCATACGTTTGACCTTAAATTTCTTTGATGTTTGTTTATGTTGTCGTCTGTGTGCTATATTTTACAATAAAGTGTTCATCTTAGCAGTTTTTAAGTGTATACAGTTCTTGATGTGACAAAATCAATGAGCCCCTTATTCAAATTATTGTCAACTCGCTGAAAGAAAATTTTTGCTTTTATTTATATATTCGTGTACCGTACCAAATCAGAAAAGTTTGTCTTGCTTCAAGAGAAAATTAACAAATTTAATTTCTTGTTGCTTTATATCATGAAATGTGTTTTAATTGTACTCAACATTCTAAAACACACGAACTAATTGAATAACGGGTGCCACATGTGGAGCAGGATCTGCTTATCCTTCCGGAGCACCTGAGATCACCCCCGGTTCTCAGTCTTTAGACTTCTATGTTGTGTTTTGTAGACTGTTGATCGTCTTTTTGTCGTTTTTTTCGTGTTTTTGCCATGATGTTGTCAGTTTGTCTTCGACTTGTGTGTTTGAATAAAAATGAATTCAAACTCATAATCACTTGGTGCACAATAATCATAGGAAATAAGCTCATTACTCTTTATCCGTAGTTTGTACAACTTTAAATACAAACTATGCTAACCTTTGTTTAAAAAGAATAAATAAAAGTTTTTTTCTTTTAATGTGTTTTATTTCCTTTCCTAGTGTGTAGGTGGTGTAAAAAATCTATCATGTTTCAACCATAAAAATTTTAATGTAAAAATTAAATTAAATAAAAGCATTCAATTCTATTACCATCTTTTAAAACATCAAATGTTTGCTTTCCAGGTATAAATTATTTTATATGTATACTGTGATAAATACAGATACAAGATGTTCTTCTCTATAATTCTGTTATCAAAAGACTATAAATTCTTCCAACAGTACGGACTTAAAATTTTAAAATGAAAACCATTAAAATTCAATAAATAAACTATTGTGGGTTAAAATATGGCCATAATTTATCATTTATATCTTCCTTTTTTAAAATGCTGTTAGAAAATCATGACGTTGAAACCTATAAAAAGTGTTAAAGGCATGAAAAGTCATAGCTATCTTTGCCTGTTAACCTGCATTTCTATTCATAATGTTAGTTTCTTTTATAAATATTCGACAATTCCGTAAAAAGGGTTTGAAAAACTTTTGACTGCAGGGGTATAGGCTATCTATAAATCTTACTTTATTGTTTTCTTATTTATTTCCGAGAAGACTAATGTTTTTAGTATCGTAATGAATTTTATTTTATCTGCCTAACATGCACATTAAATCAACACTTTAATCTACCTAGCATATACTTTAAATCAACACATTTAAGAAACAAGCACTTAAACTTTATCAAAGAATAATATGCTATCCTATTTCTTAAGTCGGGTCATTTTGATATTGATAAAATCATCCTTTATACTCTATCTAATTAACTTGATGCAATGATAAATCGTGTTAAAAAAGCAGCGAAATGCCTACTTGCAAGTAAAGTATATCTTCTTAATGGATATAATTATTCGATTAGTGTGTTTCCTCCCACTTCGAAGGCATATTAAAACAATATATGTAGATAATTTCAACATGATCCAACTGTGATTTGTATACTACTAAATAAACTATTCGTAGCTTGAGTCATAACCCTATAATATGCAATCCACGTTGATGATAAATAAATCATTATGCAAGGTTTATAAAATATATTTAATTTAGAATCGTTCACACCATTGTCACTTTTCAATTAATCATCGAATAATTAGTATAATTCAACCAGTTGGTTTGCATTTAAAATTTTGAGATGCTGTAATCTTTTAGATCGTTTGATGAAGTTCAAGATTATCATAGCAATTTTTCATCAAAAAATTATTTAATTCAAGATTAACTTTCCTTACGAATCAGACTACTATAGTATATGTGTATAAACGGCTAGCAAATGTATACCTGATTCATTACATGCTTCTTGTGAAATTTAAGTGTTCGGAAACGATCAAATTAAAATTACTTAGTGTATAAAACACGACTAACTAAAGTTAATAAAATGAAAGTATGTACATAAAACTGAAGCAATACGTGTTTTTATAAATGTCGCAGATAAGTGGTGCAGGAATTTACGTAAGTTGACAATAATGAAATCTTTTATTGTGTCAACATGTTCTGAGCAGTGCATAACCTTGTCAGATACTTTAACAAGCGTGTAGAAGAAAGTCTTTCACCTGAAATATATTTATGTAAAGTTTGTGGTTTTAAAATCACTATATGAGAGAAATTGTTTTTGTTCCTTTTACTTGATGTTATTAAGAAATGTTCGCTTAACTGAATTAATAGAAATAGATATCACATATATGAATTCCTAGTCTGAAATTTCACTTAATCCTTCATTTTTTTCAATAAACTTTGTCCCGTTAAAACTTATATAACGTGTATTTATTCGGGAGTGTCTATTGAAAAAAAAATATAAGGTGGAGGGGATCATGGTTATGGAAGATCTATCTAACATAAAATGGAATTTTGTCAAAATCTATTCAACAACAATGAAAACTACTTAAACTGCCAAACAATTTCTTGAATTCTAACATATGAAGCCATTAGAATTTTATAAGCTGCCACTGGTATATTCTGAAGATAGTTAAACCTTCAAAATTCTATTTGCTTGATTATAGCATCATAGTAAGCTAATTTATATCACTTTTATCCAAAACATATTTACACATGCCATATATAGGTACACACATAATTATTACGTTCGGATATGCAATAATTCAATGGGTTATTAACTTCATTTGTACTAATACATCATTTTTTCTGTCAGAGGAACTAAGAAACAATTGAATCAAATTAAACTTTATAAGAATTTCAAAGATAAGAACACTCACCTGTGTATGTCTCGCCCGGAACGTATTTCTCGTTTTTAGGAAGGTCTAAAATCCTTATTGTAAATCCATTGTCCCCGGGTTTTTGTGTTGCAGTTGTATGAATTGGGGTTCTATTACATATACTATAGCACTGTACACTTTGAAAAGTTAAGAATGCAACAAAAAATAATAATCTCGAAATAATATTAAAATCCATGACGAAAATGATGAAAATTAAATATACAATCTAAACTACAATAATGTATATTATTTTATGCTGATTAATATAAGAATCCGAAATGTGTATTTTAATTAAGTCTCAGTATCTCTATCAAAGTAATCCCACAATGTACATATATATGTCCGATACCATAAAAACATCGTCAATATTTATTTCCCACTACTATAAAAAGTAAACGAATGTTTCATGAAGAAAATAGTAAGTTGGTGTTTAAAACTCAAGGTAGCAAAACTTGATGTCAATCAAACGTTAGTCTCCGCCTCCAGAGGTATCTCTATGTTTTTGATAAATGGTATCACATGTTTTATCTACATATCGTAACGAGATATATTTTTGTAGTCAGAGCTTTAAAAATAAATAATATACCATATGGACAAGCCGCTCCTGTCAAATTGACCACTTAAATTCCAAAACGGGTTAGTTTACCGAAACTATTGTAAATATAAATCCAACGGTTTAGGGGATAAGTATATTTATTAAATCAATAAGAATTAAAATAATATTTCGATCGTTAACGTGATTTCTTATACAATATTTTGACACTCTCCTATTCAATTTGTTTGTCAGATATCATAATTCAATAAACGTGATCTCCGCGTATTTCAAGATGACAACTTAATACGGCATATAAAAAACTACAAAAATAAAAATATTAAAGAAGTCATTCACATCTTCGGTAAGTGTATGATAAAGAAGTCATTCACAACTAGCCTCTTTAAATATTCAACATTCTAACATTATTTCCTTGATTATGCTTTTGTGATAACGTGAAATTTTATAAAAATGTTTGAAAGAAATATTTTACTATTCAGTTTTATACAATTTGTAACTCATTAGCCTTTACAATAGTAAATAAATATGATAAGAAGTCATGCAATTTGAAATTATCAATTTTAACGTCATACAAAAAAGTAGAACGCAACCATGGAAGGGTCCGATACAGGTAACAGAATAGAAATCGAAGTAGTCCATGCAACATAATAACAAACACCCAGAAATATAGATAAACAAACAAACATTGGTCTTTAAACACTTTACAGAAAACTTATAAGTAAGCAGTAAATGTAACCCTAGGTAATCGAAAAGGAAAGCAGTTCATATTCCGAATGCTTCTTGTATTTAGCTGTACCAGTCACTAGTACATGGCGGGTTATTAAGATGACTTACTTAAAGTCAAACTCTCCGGCAGTTCCAGCTTCGATGTGCATGCCTCTCTACACGTAAGAAAGTAGTTCCGGCACGGAATCGATCAATTTTAGGAGTTTGGTTTAAAGGTATCACAGATTTATCATCTTATTCGTTGGCGCTTTATACCTAGTCAACATTCAATCCCGTTTCTATTAATAAAATAAAAAGTGTTGACTTCTTTTTAAATTAATGTATGCCATTTTTTATATCCGACATGGACCTTTTGGGCATGATGTTGTCAGAGGAAAAATAAGGAGATGTGGTTTGATTGCCAACGAGACGCCGTGACCATCCACCGGAGTTAAAATATCGTAGATATACACATTAATATATAGGTTACCGTGCGGCCTTCATTAACGAGAAAACCCCATACCGTATAGTCTGCTATAAAAGGCCTCAATATGATAAAATGTTAAACAATTCAAACGAAAAAACCTATGGGCTTGCTTTATGACAAAACATGAACTAAAAACAACAAAAAAACGAATTACAGCAACCAACGTAATCCATTATTACAGACTCTTTACATGGGACAGGCATATAAAGAATATGGATGGCGCCGGGGTTTAACATGTTTGTGAGCACTCAACATTTCCCCTAGCCTGGGACAGTGATGTAAAAGCACAACATTAAAACAAAATGTAAAAATCAGTTAAAAATGGTTGACTCGTCAATTGACACGGAGCACAAAAACGGATAACATACAGACACAATTAAAGAAACAAATAATAGATCAAAGAGTACTCGCAGTTAATGATAGCTAGTTCAAACCCAAATATAACTAATAAATAAACCATGTTCTTCCAGACTTAGATATCAATCAGTACACATCCAACGGATTTATTGTATTGACGTCATGAACAGAACGAGAAAAGCAAGACCTTGTGCAATACCGACATATGGATGGGTCATAAGTTTCCATAGTTTTTATACTAATACATATTTCGTTATGTTTTAATTATCAAAAATAAAATCATTGTTAGTACCGATAAGAACAATATTCAAAGATTACTACAATATTGAATTGATAAACTTTCAGAGTAAGTTTATTTAAAGGATCAATGAGTTAACATGGATCGTATCTAAATTTACGAGCTCTATAAACGACATTACTTTAAAACTTAATATGTGATATCCTGTTTCTAATAAGAATTTTACTGGTACAGCAAAACATCAAAACCAAATCTTTGTATCTATCAAGCCTATTTCGACTTCTAATCTTTATTATACTCTTTTATTTTTCCTCCCTTTTTGTATGACGTGTCCTATATTTTTTAATTTCATGAAACCATATCATTTTAATCTATAACAAGTTATAAAATAAAATTTCGAGTATTACTTTTGATATTTCACAGACGTACCCTTTCAAAGAATTTCATATTCGTTATTCTTAGTAACATTTGTTATTCTGACTCCGAAGGTGAAAAAAGATGAATGTTGCCAGATCCACTCGCTGAGTCGGATTGTTAACGTGCTAGTGAACAAGGTAACAATCCATTGGAAGACAAGTACATTATTTTGACTCTAAGTCGGACAGTCTTCGCTCTTACTCCTTTTTGTCCCGTGCTTAGCGGAGAAGCAGCAAATACAAATTTTACAGTCTTTGGTTTGATCCGACCGGGGTTTGAACCAATGAATACCCCCCCCCCCCCCGGGCATTCGTGGCGACCACGCTACAACGAGACCACCGAGACGGTTTAGTTGATGTTGATAAGAGATCTTTAGTAAGCTATACTTGTAAACAAAACTGTAACGTTTTTAAAGCAGGTATGATCTTGACGTGGCATGAACACTTGGTTTTTTTTTGAAGACCGTAACCATGTTCACCACTGGGTGTCCTTTCTCTGGATCATCTATGTGTTTTTGTTGTTGTTTCAATGGTGTAATTCCCTTTTCTTTTATTCATTAACGAGTCGTTTGTCTTTTTGCTGTAATCCTTTTAAAATCCCGTAATTAAAAGGAGGAGAGTAAATTGTAGGCAATAAATGTTAGTAATTGTATAAACAAAAATGAAGTTGTAATATGTGGAAATGCACAAACAGAAATATTATCACTCAAGTATGAACCTAGGTGTGCTGGTATGACTCCCCGGGGGCAAGTCTGGTACAATTGTGTATTTTCGTATTGATTTAGATATCCCTTCAACATTAAAAATATGTTTACTTCTCCATACTCGAGACAAACATGACAAATATTACTACAAGGTGTAGATTTATGTATAGTCGGGGCTAGCTTGTCTTATTTTATGGCCTTTACACAGGAGAACTATCATTACTTATAATGACCGTTCCTAATGGCTCTTTATTTTTGTTTCTGCTGGAAGCAACGCGAGGAGTGCCAAATGTCATTTTCATACATTTGCTATTTGAAATATTCATACTTGTAAACACACAACGCGTCGGAAAGGAAAGGTACTGAAATATGAAAACAATAACTATCTTTCAACAAAGAAGTTTGTTATTACATGCCAAATGCATGAGCAGATTACAAACTGTTTGAAATAGTAAAAGAACACGGAGAAAGTAAACAGTACCTTTTCACAGATGTCTGCTAAAAAGAATCACACAAGGCAAACTATTTTTTTTTAATTTAACTATAAAATAACTCGTTGTAAGTTTTCTACCTTTTTTAGTTCACTTTCCTGACTTCATAGCAAACGTTTGCTAATGGTGTTTTTATATAGGTAAAATAATGCAAAATGAAAATGAAAATATCAAACAGAGAGTACATTACTTTATAAGAAATTAAAAATTTTGAACCCTGGTTTTCTTTCATTTATATTAACGTTCGTGAATGAAAATAACACTTTATAAATTTGATGCCAAGGATGTATAAATAGTGTACATCAGGAGCTATATCGTGAAGTGCGATTGCAAATCGATAAAATGGTTTTATGTGTAGTCTTTAAGCAGTGATAAAACGATTTGTGTGTGCTCTTACATTGAAAATCAATGTATCGTGTTATCAATTTGCAATTTACACAATGAAACCATCTTATCGGTTCGCATATACCAATCAAGCATTTGACGATTCGCCCTTTCTCTACATTGTATGAGCAATTAAGAAAGTTATTGCCTATTAATGTATACTACTCATTTTCCAAATTAAACTTTTACTTAAAACCCGGAAAAGAAATTAATCTAATGTGTTAAATTCTATCGAATGATTTTTTTTTTATAAATCGAGTATTTCACATTATTTGACGACATGACGAATATTTATGTTTCCCTCCACCCAAAAATAGTTACAAAATTAAATTTTAATCACGAAGTCAATAAATGTAAATTGCAGATAATTTGATTTCTAATGTTTTCAACAATAATCAATTCAAAGTTTAATATATCTGCGTAATACGTAGGAAATAAGTATTTTTAACATGTGAGAAATCGACATGATCCATATATGTTTTGTGCGACATGTATAAACGCCCTGTTTTTGTTTAATTTAATGCAAAATTTACCGTTTATGATTTAAATCTTAATAAATATATTCTTAATAAAGATTTAAACATAGAATCTGAAAATACTTAATGCGGCGGTCACACATAGCCGATTATTGCTCCCGTTTGAGATCAGACAGCATTACTAAAAGTGAAAAAGTCGGAATACTAAATCTTCAATAATCTAGAATGTCCTATCATTGTCTGAACACTGTCGTATACATTCGTAACAGAGTCCTTTGGGTCGGGAATGGTCTGGAAAGTTCGACCAAGCACTCCCGACCGTTCGGTAAATTCAGCCGATTTTGTCTAATTGGATTACAATTGGGACTTTGTCGTGACAGATTCTGCTCTATCGGATCAAACTCGGATCAAAATCGTTTCTGTGTCGGTTCCCTGTCTGGTCACTTTCTGATATCTATTTGATCTCTGTCGGATTGCATTCGGGAGAATTGGGACTATTTCTGGACAGATTTTGTCGTTTTTTACCATGCGTAAAATACCAATCGATTCGGAATCGGATTGAGAACGGGATAATCGGGGCGTTTCTTATACAGTATCTGATTGTTGTCGTGATCAAAAATAATCTTTTT